TTATCCGTGTATTAACCCCCACATTTCTCATGTGGATTTCTCTGTATGAAGGTACTTTATATGGCTGTAAATAATTTTTTACTTTTTAAACCACTGTCTGCTGAAGAGCACTGGCAAGCATACTCTTCCATTACTTTCCTTTATTTAATAATTAACGTATCAATTAGACCGAGAACTCGAGGGAGATTACTGTAAGTTATGCCTTTTTTAAAAAAAAAAATACATCTCTTGTACGAAACTCCCGTTGCAGCAAACCAAGAGAAAGCTAGATGACGCGAACAAACGGCTTGAGTCCCTTTATGACAAACTTCGGGACCAGACGGTAAGTGTCCTGTTTGTCTCTGGGAAAATGACCTGCTCATTCCCCTCTATAATTCTGACACCTGATCGATTCTTACAGCATGATAGAAAACCGTGATTGTTACATGTTTGAGTTCCTTGCACTAATATATTTTTTTAGTTTGGTGTTGCAAAGGTCTTAGCTGTATGTGACTGTTACCATCCAAGGTTCAATTAAAATACTTGGTGAGAAATTATCAGGAGACTCGTTACATAAGCAAAGATTCATTTATTGGCTACTGAAAGTATTTGATACTTATTTTTTTTGCAAATACTTTTGCATTTGGTTATTTAAAGTGAAACCATAAAATAAGTGAGATGGTTTTCACTGATAATTTTTTTTTAGTTTACTTGACAGTAACCAAAGTGAAGTGTTTGGATGGATTATTTTGTGTAACTGCAGTTATTTTACAGTGTTTTTTTTTTATTTAATTCTGCAGCTGTCCCCAGCTATTATTGGCGGTTTACACAACATCGCCCGGAGTATCGAATCTCGCTGTTACATGGATGGACTGAACATCCACACTCACATCGTCAGTAACAGCAACTTCAGCGAGACCTCGGCTTTCATGCCTGTGCTGAAAGTAATTTTGACACAGGCTAACAAGTTAGGGGTCTAGCTAGCACAGTCCTCTCGATGATAATGAACATAAGCCATCAGTATCATTACTACTGTAACATGCAAGAAGAAATAGGACCAAATAGCATGGTATTTTACATCTTATCCCTACTGGGTTGATGCTAAGACTTAGGGATTCCCATTAAAAGACTTCTGAGCATTGTTTTAATATGTAATCATGAAATTAAGAGCAGAGTGCAATTGGTGCTTTTCGATTTTTTTTTTTTTACCTTTTTCGACAATGATTTTAAATCTGAACAGTATTGTTAAAAAATGCATGCTTTTCGAGCTCGATTGTAAATGAGATGCTGAAGACGTTACCGAAGTCTGTATGACCTGGTCAGCTGAGTGACGGGTTTTAAAGGAGCACAGAGCTGTTGGACTATGTTGTGCCACCTTTGTTGGTTGATTCAGTTCATCCTGTGTTCTTCAGGCAGAGGTAGTTGTTTGGAAATGCTGCCTATCTCATTTTTTAATTGTTAAACTTAAGTTGTAAGTGCCCTAGTTTTGCATTTGTATTTCATTACAAGTGAGGCAAATGAAACCTTAAAACCAACACCATGCAATATTTTAAATAAATAGTATTTATTTAAATGTGGGATTTTTTTTTTTATTGATGCCAAAAACCCTACGAAACAGTGCTTATCAGTCTGTTTTGGGAGCTGGGATTTGGTAATATTCCATATTGCTTTGAAATACCAAAGTTCATTAAGTCCTTCTTCGAAATTATGACAAAGTGTCGTACAAAACACGATGTGATCCACTGGGTTCCTCATATTCCCTATCCAGTACTTATCAGGGTCCTTAAAGACCTTTGCCTTTCCTCCACTATAGCTCAACCCACCCTTCTGTTACAAATTGAAAATGTAATAAATTAAATAAAACCAGAAAAAGGTTTACAGTCCTATTCTCTTCCTTTAAGTCAACCCGCACAAGAACAAATCGTGCTCCCCTCTCCAAGCTAAAACACCACAACAACAACAACTACCTTGCATCCTTTTTAATAATGTGTAATTATTCTATAATGTGTGGAACAAGGTGATAAATACAAGGTGAGTATTATTAGTAAGAAGAAAGAAACTATGGGTATAACCAACGCTACCAAGCTATAACAATCTTCCAGAAACATTCTGAGGAAATCTGGCAGATGCATTCTTCTAGACATTTGTCCAAACTGTAGACTGTCAGCCTGTTCCCTTTTAACCTAACTGTTCTTTGGTAGGTCCATAACCAAATAACCATGTGCCAGGCTGCAGAGTGTTCACAAAGCCAAGTGCATGCAGCCTGCCATCTTGGACAAGCCTGTAAAGTGACATAACTGGGCTGCAGGTTCCCTTAGCTCCGATGGAGTTGTTCTGAGACTAGAGGTGATTTGTTTCGCCTACCGTCAGGTATGGATGCATTATGTTGAGCTACCCTTTTAACTACAAATGGCTTTCCTCCCAAACAGCTAAAGCTGTGCATATACCCAAGCATTTATCCTGTATATTATGTGATATCTGTGCATGTTGTTTCACTATCCCTCCTGTGCTAACAAATGTGTTTTGTCTAAATATTTTAAGGGGTTTTCCTTGCGTGTGATGCCTAAACAGAATAAACACACGAAATGCAATCTGTACTACTCCCCTTACATTAAGACTTTGCAAACTAAACTTTTTGGAGGAGCTTAATCACACTTAATATACAAATCTCATATAAACATTTGCATTCATATTCTCTCATGACCTTGACTGGTAGATTTTAATTGATAGTCTGTACACTGGAGTTAACACTTTCATAACTCCAGTGTACCAGTGGACTCCATACACCAGTAAATCCTTCCATGTTCCCCAAGATGGAGCAATCTGAAATTTATTTGGATGTTTTTCCACTTATTTACACTGCTTGTTCGGTGCAGTATTAAATTAACAGTAAATAACCTGCACAGTTAGTAATGCCTTTATTTTGATGTTACAATTTAAACTGTTCCCTTTACCATGAATTTGCATTTCAGAATATTTTCTTTATTGAAGATGCATTGATTGTAATGTGAACATTATAATGCGAATTCTGCACTTACACTTCTATAAAGTTATTTACCGAACCCGTGCTACAGCGCGTTTCATTTAGAAGTGGGTGTACGGCGGAGTACGTCTTCGGAGGCATCGGTGAGGAAACCACAAATGTCTGACAGCACATGTTTTTTTAATTGGCATGTATCGTGATCTAAACATTAATCGGTCTCTTAGTGGTACAGCGTGCTGTAAACATATTGTTGTGTCTAATCCGAATATAATTGGGAAAGGCGCCTCCTCCCCGATCGCTTTATAACTGGAAAATAATGAAACCCTGTCGTGGTGAAAGTGGGAGGCTGTAAGTGGGCACACGGGAGGCTTTCAACAGCATTTAAGTACACAATAGCAGCAGCTGACTCGGACAGTGCGTGTCAGCTGGGAAAACAAGTTCACAAAAGCGTTTTTTTAATAAGCTTTTATTATACCATCCAGCAGGATTGCGATGCGACTCGTCCATTCATTGGCTTCTTGCGGGGGAGCGGTGTTCTTTAAAAAAAAAAATGATCGCCGTAGTCAAAATGTCGACAACACGATTCGTCTTTAGCAATTTAAATAACCGAATGCGTGAATTTTTAAATAAAGGCTCGATGTGTTTTTTTTTTGTTGTTGTTGCTTCATCTTTTAGAAAACGCGATAAATGGGTTGCCCCAAAGATGAAATAGTTTCCACAGTAATCTAGGTCAATGCTGAAACAAATGTGTTCCCAGAAGTAGATCAGTTCATGCGGGAAAGCCATTAAATATATGCTACAATATATAAGAAAATAACAGTATCTAACACTGTTAGTAGTCAGGTACATGCATGTGGCCATGTGTATATATAAATGTTGATTTATTTAATGCTGTTTGCGCAGATTTGAAATTATACTGGTGATGTTGCTGGTGCACGTAGGTTAAAAGCGCACCTGTTGCTTAATTTGGCGGACTGTAACAACCGGCCACCTGCAAGAAGCGTAGTCCTAGACAGCGTCATCGCGGTTTAAACTGCAGGATTTGTTTTCATCTTTAACAAATATTAACATATTAGACAAATCCGCTTTGAAAAGTTCAGAGTGGAACCATCTATAGGGCGGGAAAACATCCGTTTTCTAACCCCTTTATCCAGTACAGGGTCGCAGTTGAGCCTGAGCCTATGTTGGCAAGTGATAGGCACAAGGCAGGATACATCCTGGGTGGGAAACCAGTTCATTGCAGGGCACCCACAGACACACACATGCTCATACTCACACCAGGGCCACTTCTTTCAGAAGTCAATTAACCTACCAATATGTCTTTGGACTGTGGGCTGAAACATACATGAACACGGGGAGAACATGCAAACTTCATGCAGGTAGTACCCCCGGGAATTGAACCCAGGGCCTCAGCATTGTGAGACAGCAATGCTAAACCACCATGCCCTTAATATATCTATCCTTGTACAGTATCCCCTTAGTCAAACACAAGATCTCGGTTAGGCCCAAGCCTAACCGGAAGGACAATGGACACAAGGTGAGTAACACCACTCCTTATACAGGGAACAATTTATCTAAAGACTTTTGACTATGGGAGGAATCCAGAGAACCTGGAAAAAGCCAGGGTGACCACAGGGAGAGTATGCAGAAATCATACTGAAGGTACCCAGCCCAGAACCTTCAGATAGTATCTTCAGATAGTATAACCATTTTTCTTTTGTTTAGCTACCCCCACTGCTTATTATGTGCCTGTCTTTTAGTGTGGTTGACATTCTGAAGCATTTGGATATCGACTGATACGCCACACTGTACACTGGAGTGGTAGCATGAAAGGGGGTGACACAGTCACGTTCCAGTACTTTCTCTTTGTATTGCGTTTTCTAAAATGGTTTGATCACTTCCAGCCCCATTTCCTCTGACTACAGCAGTAATGTAATGCAAGGAAACTGTTTTGCATTGTAAGCTCATAGTCCTCTATTAGGAGTATTAGAATAGTATTTTGTAAAAAAAAATAACAATAAGTCCTGTAACTGGCATGCCATTCCATGTAAATAGAGTTGACGTGTCTTCCTCACAGTTAATCTAAAACTGGGGCGATGCTCTGTGATGCTTTTTCAACTGTACATCACTGTTGCCTTCAGTTTGTTGAAAGCCATGTCTGACTTTGCCTCGACAGATCCATCCGGGGGCCATTTAAATGTATGCAAAGCAGATGAACTAAGCTGTCCAGATATGTATATATATATATCATAAGGCACCCTTTGACATCAGAACTGCTTTCACTTTAAAGCACCAGAACTGCGGCGTGTGATTGGTTGCGGCAATGCAGGTCTCTTTGTGTAGCTGTAGGGAGTTCAGCCCTCGTACATCATCATGGGTGAGATGCTAGCGGCATATGCTCATCTACTTTGCCAGTCGCTTCTGTTCTAAGCTTGGGGAAAAAAACGCAGTTCTTTATTATTAGTGACTAGGCGTCCTGCGCAACGGTAGTTTTTTCATATTTGGTTAGGGGTGCTTCTTTCCCCCCTATTGATAATCAAGTTCGTGTATGCGGAGATGGTGAGTGTGGAGAATGGAAGCAAAATGCGGAATGGAGAGGGAATGTCGTGCAAGCCGGTGGAAGCGAAGGGGCAAGAGGCGGCGGAGGCAGCCAGCCAGCGTCCACAGCAGATCGTCTGGAGAAATGTCATTCTGATGAGCCTTCTCCACATCGGAGCGATTTATTCTCTCACGCTCATTCCAAAGGCGCATCCTCTGACATGGATGTGGGGTAGGTGTCTGCCGGGGGTGTATGAACAAACAGCTTCCATGTATGCATGGCGTTTTCATTAACTTTGTAAATAATGTCATGTAAAACAAGGCGCTAACCTTTGTATAGGTAGACCATATGGCTTCCTGGCGGTGAATGGGTGTTAGCGTGCTGTTTTAATGACCAAATTAACATCTTTTGAGAGACTGCATTCTACAGTAGGTTGGCTGAACTGAATAAAAAGCTGTTACATGTAAAGGGGAGTTGAGCAGCCTTTTGATGGAACGTTTTTTTTTTCGCAGCATTGTTTTTGTTAATGTAAATGAATAATTGTGTGAATCCTAGTGCGTTTGGTTGCTAGGAAGCGGGTTTTTCTTTATACAGACACCACTTTCCGTACCCTGTTGATATTCAGAAGTCGACGTTTGAAAGTTTGATAGATCTGCCGTGAAGTCAAGAGAATCTTTACCCTTGAACATGGGGCATGTGCATTTAAGTGACATTCCTTTTATGGTGTACTTTGATTTTTATGCCAATCAATCTAAGGAATAATTGGTAATAATAATTATTAATATATTATTTATTTTAAGAGGGTGATGTGTAAACCAGTAATTTGGTATGCAATGGTATGTTGGTATGTTTTCATATTTCTTGTTTGGAAAAAAAAAATCACTATGGTGCACTATGTTGCGTTTATTAAGGCTTGTGAATTTAGTTTCATAAGAGTTATTAGACATTCTTGCATATAATATTCTCGTTTCCTATATTCACTGAATCATTCTTCGGTATATACTACTAGCACTCAAATCAGGAAAAAAAAGATACATTTGACTTTTCTGCGACATACTGTATATTAAAATGTAATGAGAAATAATTTCGTAACTCGTTTCTTCGTGTGTTTAGGAGGCGTGTTTTTAATATTATTTTAATGACCTAAAAAAGAGAACAGTTCACAGTTTAGTAAAGTAGCTCTTCTTTAGACTTTAAGAAAAGACACTGCAATCATTCATAGCAATTAGATGTCCTGCTGCCTTGGATGAATAAATTGTTCCCCGCTGAGATTAAATTACACATTCCCTCTTTACTGCCCCTTTTGTACAATCTGGGCTGTAAAGGATGGTACATTTCTAGGATGCAGCCAGGCTTTGCGTTCGACTGGCAGTGATTTAATTTTCTTAATAGATGTGGTGCGTCTAGTAATGTTCTTGTATCATGAAACTTGTAGTTGTGCAGGAAAAGTCTATTGCTCTTTACCGCCTCAGACTGCAATTTGTGCCTTTAAAAAATCTCAATACTGAAGTAATTAGCGTTACATTGGCGATAGTGAAGAAACACTTCGCGTTTTCATTTATTTACATGGTATTTGGTCTACAGTTGCTGGGGTCACCGCCGATAAAAATAGCGCAAGGCAATCCAATGTACTGTAACAGCAGTAGATCTTTTATTCAAACCTGCCTTCCCCAGCTGCTTCTGGCCTGACTGCGCGCCGTTAGGCTGATCAGCTCTAGCAACGCTCTTCAGTGGGGTCTGCGTCAGCCGCGACTCTTTATGCACTATTTAAATAACCATTTATACAGAGAAGCTGCTTGTCTATTATTTAGTGTCTTTGAATTAAATTCTAACATTTTAATATGTAGTACATAACCCTGGGGAGTGCCCTAAAAAATACAGGAAGGTGTATGAAGTAGAGGTGCTTCTGTTGCTGTCACATCAATGTACAATACCAGTAATGAATACAAGAGAACTATGACCTTTGTAGCACTGAACCAAAGCGATACTCTAACTAAGACCTGCTTTGATGGGGTTTGACACATCGCATCTTCGCTATGTGCCCATGCACTGGAGAAAAGCTTGATTGGTCTGTCTGACCATTTTGGTTATGTATGTCTTTGGGTTCTTCATGGGCTTGTTCTGTGTCAATACAAAACATAAAAACTCTACTAATTCAAGATTATCCAAAGAGAGTACTGTATGTTCTAAAAAACTCTTGACCAGAAAGGTGCAGGAGAGAGATGTGATTCTTCCTATATGGCTATATACAGTATGATAGCTGCAATAAAATCAGAATCAGGGATACCAGAAATCACTTTTAAACACTAGATGGTGGCAAACTTTTCCCCATCAATTTTACTTGGTTATTCCTTGAAGAAAGCTTCAGTTCTTCACGAACAAAGCTTAACTTGGTTATTTAGTGGTCATGTCTGCTGCAACTTTTAACAAAAGCTGAAAAAATAAACAAATGAACATTGAACATGATGCTGTTCTGAAATTGTTTCAAAATGTTAAGTCTCTGTAGTTACAATTATTACCAATTTGTCAGTTTGAGAAAAAGAGGAATCTGCGAGTTATAACATCAGTTGTCGTGCTTCAGTGTCACAGGGTGAAATCTGTATTGCTAAAGAAAGGAGATTGGAACATTCAACTAAATACATTGTGAAAATACAGCTTTTGTTTAGGTATTTAAGTTCAGATTCCACATTGGTAAGATGTTACAACATAAAAGAGGTGGAGCACGGTGCATGCTATCGATTATCACAAACAGTGGAAATGTACAATTTCCTACAGGCACTTCTATGGCATTACTTTAATTTAACATAACATCACTTTATTAGCCCTATACAATTTCTTGCATTAGGAATTCATCTTTTCACATACCTCAACTTGCTCTCCATGAGACACAAAGATAGGTAGAGAGCCTGTGGTCAGAGCACAGGGTCAGACATTTATTCAGCACCCCTGGAGCAGTTGGGGTTAAGGGCCTTACTCAGGGGCCCAACAGAGTAGGATTCCTCTGCCAGCTGCAAGATTTGAACCTGCAGCCTTCCAGCCACAGGCACAGATCCTTAGCCACAGAGCCACCACATACTATATATCTGTCACTGCATATTTATATCTGTCAGGGCCTGCATGATATCAAGATACATAATATCAAGCTATTAGAAGCTATTAGCGGGTAATTTCTATTGTATTCTAAGAGGCATTTAAAAAGGCAACAAATGCCATTAGTTCCAGTATTCAACTATTGAATTTTATTATCTGGCAGTATAGACGGCTGGAATCCTGGAGAGGACATCTGTCTGACAGTGATTTAATGTGGACAGCAGGAAGTGCAGACTTGGACCTGGTAATGTGATAATGGGCTATGGTATGCACTCTTGCAACTGTACGAGAGGGCCTCTGTGTTGCAGTACAAGCATCCGGACTTGCTTCTTGCAAGATATAACCCACAGATTTCTGTATGGAAAAATGCCCTCAAACTTTAATCATACCCCTAATGAAATAAGAACAATAAGCATTAAATAAGGGAAACATTTATAGAATGGATAATCCATCATTTTTTATAAAAAATCAAAAAATGTTATACAGTTATCTTAATAGCATTGCAGAGATCAAAGCCATGTCTGCCACAAATAATTAAAGTCCAAAAAACACACGGGTCACACACCACCCAGCCCTGTGGTTAGTATTTTGTATATCTTTCTCTGGCAGGGATTACACTGACTAAACCCCTCCTGCAGTGTGTTGTGAGGTTCTGGCACTCGAGAGGGGAAATTTATAAACACTCCTCCAACTGCTCTCAGAACTTCACACCCTTTGGTTTCTACTTGTGAACTGCCATTTCAACTTAGGATCACAAATGTTCAAATAGAATGAGATCTGGAGATTGAGATAGCCAGCCGAGAACATTTATTTTGTGGCCAATGAACAATTCGTCTGTTGATTTTGACTCATGCTTGCCATCATTCTCATGCTGAAATTTTCCATTTTCGACCAAATGTGTCGAGTCTGCTTCACCTCTTTTTGTGATTAATCGTCAGAAAATGTTTCTCCCTTGAAAGTCACAGAAATGCAGGTGATGTGGAATGGTAGGTTTTAACACTTTGTATTCTGAAGATGCCAGTGTGTATTGGAGGTCTCCATTTACAGTTGCCTCCCAAACCACTTGTTTCCCAGCAAGAACCACACCTATTATTGACAGAGTTGCCACTCTACCATTTCTTAAAATGATCACCACCATAGAAAATTACAGATTCACCTTATTCTAGATCCTTTTATAGTCCTCCCCCAACTTGTGGAGAGCAATGACCATTTGTCTGCAATTTTCAGAGAGCTCTTTGACCTTAACCATGATGATACATGCTGCTACTGTGTTTTCCATGTGTTACTTCCTTTTGGACCCTCGGCTTGACAAGACTAGACCATGTCATGAATGAAGAGGTTGCAAAAAACACTCAAAGTCGCCCCAAGGACTGAGAAAATGAGGGAATCGCGCCTGCGATAGTATGGACACGTGCTCTGCAGCAATGACACATCGATGGCAAAGACCGCCCTCGAATTGAATGTGGAAGGCAGCTGGCCCCGTGGATGACCATTTACGCGCTGGCTGGATCAGCCACGCAAAAGTCACCTGCCGAGACGCTGCAGACTGTACAAAGTGGACAAATCTGTGCAAACAAGCAGACCCCACGTAAGTGGGAAAATGCGAAGGAGAAGAAGACTTCTTTTTATACCCCAGGGAAACAGGAACTTGTACTTACGTTGTAGTTTGTACATCCAAAGAGCAGAATGTTATTGCAGATTTGTTTTTTATTTTCTTAAAAAGGATACTTAGGTGTGAATAAAAGTGACCCTCTTATTTTCTGGAATTCAGTTATCTATAACAAATATGACTTAGGTCTGTGCAGTGGTATTTTGATTAAAGTGTAATATCATTAATTTTTTAAAATAGACAAACATTTCTGTTCTTTTTTTTCTAGATGGGACTAAATGTTGGACTGCTATATTTGTAAATCTGTTCACAGTAGTCAATGATTGATCGTGTGCATTAAAAGTCCTAATGTATTATTTTATTACAGCTGTTTGTATAAATTAATAATTGGAGATATTATTATACAGCTGTTCTGGTACTTTTTTCCAAAGATCTGTGTGTAATGTTCCTTAAAGAGGAACTGCAGTCCCAGTTTCTCAGACCGGTTATTAAACCTCTGTATTGAAATAATTTCATTGGTGTTATAGAAAAA